ACAAAGTATTTTTGAGTTTATACATATATATATGAGCTTCCACATAGTGGAACACATTTGGACCATTGAATGCTTGAAGCTATACAACATCAACAGGACTCTAAGAACCTTCATTGCAAACTCAGTGAGGTTGTGGAAAACTACCCTTGAAGCCAATGGCAAGATACTTGCGCAAGTCTCCATCAAATGTGACATATACTAAGGAGATGTGCTGTCCCCACTGCTGTTCTGCATAGGCCTGAACCCCCTCAGCCAAATAATCAACAAGACTGGCTACGGGTACCGACTCAGGAACAGGGCCACCATCAGTCACCTCCTCTACATGGATGGCATCAAGCTGTATGCTAAGAATGAGCGAGACATTGACTCACTGATCCATACCACCTGGATCTACAGCACAGACATCGGGATGTGATTCGGACTAGAGAAGTGTGGTTGGATGGTAACTAAGAGAGGAAAGGTAGTCCACAGACAGGGGGTCTCACTCCCAGAAGCAACAATAGCAGACATTGAAGACAGCTACAAGTACCTTGGAATCCCACAAGCAAAAGGCAACTTCGAAGAATTCCGTAAAAATTCAAAAAATATCCACTGGACTTGGTTTTCAAGATTTGAAGACGTTTCGCCACCTCTCCAGGAAGCTTTCTCAATTCAAATGTTCCTTCCTGGAGAGGTGGCGAAACATCTTCAAATCTTGAAAACCAAGTCCAGTGGATATTTTTTGAATTTTTACGGAAAATATCTTGAAAACCAAGTCCAGTGGATATTTTTTGAATTTTTACGGAATGACTATGACCTGGATGACTGAGAACCTTCATCAGCAACTTTGAAAAGGTAACAAGGAAAGCAGCTATGGCCAAATTCCTCCAACGGGTAACGGAGGTCCTAAGGAGCCATCTCAATGGCAAGAATAAGTCTCGGACAATAAATAGCTACGCTCTACCAGTAATCAGATACTAAGCAGGATTAATAAGCTGGCTAAAGGAGGAGGTACAGGTCACTGATGTTAAGACATGAAAGCTCCTAACCACGGAAGGTACCACCCCAAATCCAGCACCCTGAGACTGTACGCCAACTGTAAGGAAGGAGGCTGAGGACTAATGAGGGTAAGAGCCACTATCCAGGAAGAAAAATCCAAGATCCATAGTTACATCAAGGACAAGGCCCCAACAGGCGACATCCTCAGTAAATGTCTCAGACAATGGGGAGCAGACGATGAGGTGCTAGAGACCCCGTCATGGAAGGGTAAGCCCCTACATGGGATGTACAACCGGAACATAATCGAAGTGGCAGATATCAGGAAATCCTACCAATGGCTAGACAAAGCCGGACAGAAGGACAGCACAGATACACTCATCATGGCTGCACAGGTGCAGGCCCTAAGCACCAGAGCAACAGAGGTAAAGATCTACCACACCAGACAAGACCCCAGGTGCAGACTGTCCAAAGAGGCCCCTGAGACAATCTAGCACATAACTGCAGGGTGCAAGATACTGGCAGGGAAAGCTTACATGGAGCGCCACAACCAAGTGGCTGGAATAGAATACAGGAACATCTGTGCAGAGTAACGGCTGGAAACCCCAAGGTCAAAGTGGAAAACACCTCCAAAGGTGGTAGAGAATGATCAAGCCAAGATCCTGTAGGACTTCCAAATACAGACGGACCGAATGGTAACGGCAAACCAACCGGACATTGTGGTGGCAGACAAAAAGCAGAGGAAAGCTGTTGTGGTTGCCATAACAATACCAAGAGATTGCAACATCAGGAAAAAAGAACATGAGAATCTAGAGAAATACCAGC